CACTGTCATCCCAAAAATGAGAATTGGAAAACTGCCACGAAAAAGGCCAGGGACCGCAAATGTCCTCAATATATCTTTCTACCAGATGGGTTGAGAGCAAAAATACATTGTCTCTTTCCATGCTTGTCTAAGTGCCTGAGACCTCAACAAAAGCCACTACAGTATAGAGAGCCTGCAGGTAGGCAAAACTTCAAATCAAACATGAGCATCTGTGTGGGAGGCAATTGAGAGAGAAATGATTAAAAGTGCGTTTCAATGTCATCTTTTCTTTTGCTTGTGAGTCACAATGTGGCATGCAAGTACGAAAGGGGTGGAAATTACTCTGCAATCCCACCATGCATGTTCAGTCATTCTGAGAAAATTGTGACTTACCCTGGATGCCACTGTTAGCTAGCTAATGGTCAACACCATCTAGTCGTCCAGAAACATATACATTAAACACAAGTCACTGCCAATATGAGGTAATGGCCAGCATATCACACAGGAAAGGACCACTAGGGATTCCTTGAAATAGAGGTCCCCAACCTTTTGGGCACCAGGGACTGATTACGTGAAGAGAAGTTTTTCCAAGGACCGGGGGGGGGGGGATGTGGTTTTGTGTGCTGCCTGCATCCTGCAGATGGGGCTTTGCTTGTTTTTGTGACCCGGTTGTGACTCTACTACTGGTAGGCATCATCATCTGTACTGGTGAGTGTGGGATTTGCTCCATGTTTATATACAGTTGTTTGACCTGCCAATATTGGTGGGAATGTGGTTTTCTCCTTGGTAGTTCCTTGATCAGGATATTGTTTTGTTTGTCTGGTGTTAATCTCTGCTTATTTTGGTTTTAACTACTGGAAAGAATGTGTTCTGCTCTTTTTGTTTCCTTCTTAGCTTTTTAAAATTGCCTCTTTTGAATGGTGTATACATGTGATTTATCTCTATGTGATTGTAGATGGCTGATTTCTCTGAATGCCAACCTTCAATAAATTCCCTAACATTTTTGGATATAGTTTGGTGGGAGATGCTTACAGATTCCCAATTGAAACTATAGTTGAGGCTCTCCATGTATTGTGAGATTATGGATTTTCTGTATTATCTTCTGATTACTAGTTGGTGTTTATGATACGCTCTGCTAATCTTTTGCCTGTCTGTCCTAAATAGGGGAAGTTACAGTCATTCCTCTGAATATTCTAATGACTTTTTTTTTTTGCCCTTGGCCTACTGAATCTTTTGGTTTACTTAAGATATTCAGTTGGCTTGTGTGCTATGGTGATACTATGTAGTTGTAATAATCAGTTGTTTCTGAATTATTTTTAATGTGTGGTAGTATTCTTTTCTTAGCTTGTACTGGGTGTGCTATAATGAGTTGAATTGTCAAGCACTTTTTAATGAAGTTGTGTAGCTATTCATTTTGCTAGAAGACATTGTCTAGAATGGTTGTTTCCTTTATCTGGCACTTTGAATTGTTGCAATGTGTTTGTACGCATCAGAGTTATGTCTCTATACCAGGGCTTTTCAATCTTTTCATCCATTGCACCACTTTTAGGATATGGTAGCATCCGAGTACTACCAGTCACCTAGCAAGGTGTCAAAAACTTGATGACCAAAAAAAAAAAAAAGGAAAAAAGTGATAAAGTACAGGTAGTCCTCGACTTACAACAGTTTGCTTAATGACTGTTCGAAGTTACAATGGCATTGAAAAAAGTGTCCCCCAAGCCACAGCCGAACAAGATAGCGCATGTCCAAGGTTTTCATTGTTGTGAGCATTTCTGTTGAGGATTGGCAGCGGGGGTGGGGTGGAGGTGTTTGTTTTTTATTCCCCCCGTCTGCTGGGTGGTTGCAGCAAATTTTGGTCACTTCACATGACTGTGCGACACTGTGACCGTCATAAATATGAATCAGTTGCCAAGCATCTGAATGTAAATCACAAGACCCTGGAGATGCTGCAACATTCCAGCTGATCGGCGCTTCTGGGCTCAGCAGAAGCGCCAGGATCAGTGTTGCTTTCCAGCTGATTGGTGCTTCTTCAGGGCTCAGCAGAAGCACCAGGATCAGCGCTGAGCTCCAACTGGAGTCTGGTGATGATCCTGGTGCTTCCGCTGAGCCTTGACAGCCCCGAAGAAGCACCGATCAGCTGGAAAGCACACTGATCCTGGCGCTTCTGCTGAGCCCTGACAGCCCTGCAGTTCCAGCCATCTCTTGCTCAGGCTTGTGCGGTGCTGCCACTGGTTTAGCTCATTCCCCTCCCCCGCTACCACTTTTCTAGGATGGTTGCGTACCACCTGCCAGGTGCCAATGTACCACAAGTGGTACCCGTATCACTGGTTGAAAAGCCCTGATCTAGTCCAACTCGTTGCTCAGGCAGGAAACCCTATACCATTTCAACAAATGGCTGTCCAGTCTCTTCTTAAATATCCTACTGAATATTTTGTGGTCTTGCCTAGAACTCTTAACTTAGTAAATAGATCCATTTGCTGAAGACAGATATACTCAACAACACACACACACACACACACACAACCTGCAACAGCAATGCTTTATTGGCATTATTGATTACGAAATGATGATTGTGAACATGAGTAGTCTTATTGTAATAGAAATTTATTATCCTATAAAACTTAAAGACCACAACACCTAACGGGAGCAGTCAAATACAAGTTAGTAAAAATAAAAAAATAAAAAAGGCTATAACCCAGCTTGGATATTTTTGCTAAAACCCAAACAAGTCTAAAAGCTTGAGGCTAACATACCAGCAGAGTCTGAAGAATGAAAGAGGGAAAGCTGGCATTCAGGAGATACTTGGGAAGTGAGTTTTCACCACGAAACAGGTGGCCACTGACTGTGAGGTCTGTGGCCCTAACCATTAGGCCTGTGGGCTGCCATCCACAAGAGGCAATGGAAACAAAATCAGCATGGGTTTTAAATCAAGAGATCCCAAGAGGACCAGATTAGGCAGATATCAAGCAAAAGCATTAAAGAACAAAAGACCGTAATCTTTTAACAAGAAGGAACAGGGTGAACAAGGAAGTGATGTCCAGGTAGAAAAAGAGACATAGAAATCTTAGGGCAACAAGCTGGAATTAGGAGGCAAATACAGAGCAGGTTTATGATGAATCCTGTAGTAATCTGAACTGCAAAAAGGTCACCAGGAGATTGGTTTATTTGTTTGTCAATTTTCTAGACTGCTCATTTCCAAAAGGATTACTAGGCAGTTTCACCAAATAAAACAGAAGGAAAACAACTTTACAAAAAAAGAGCAACAGTTACCTCAAGGAATATAATATACTCCTTACATCACCCCCAGCCTAAAGGAGCCCATCAAACTCCTTAACACAAGGCCAGAGGAAAGAACCAAATATTTGGGCGTTTCTTTTATATAAATATGACAGCCAGTTTGGGGGTAGGCAACCTCGGCTCTTTTATGACTCATGGACTTCAACTCCCAGAATTCCTGAGTCATAAAAGAGCCGAGGCTGCCTATCCCTGGGTGGTTAAGGCACTAGACTAGAAAGCAGGAGACTGTGAGTTCAAGTCCCACCTTAGCTATGGAAGCCGGCTGGGTGACTTTGGGCCAATCGCTTTCTGTCAGTCAGCCTACCTCACAGGGTTGTTGTTGGGGAAAAAATAGGAGGAGAAAGGTATGCTTGGATATATTTGCTGCTTTGAGTTATAAGTGAAAATTAAATAAAGTCAGGATACAAATAAATACATAAAAATAAATGAAATTGCTTTCATCCCCCCATAGTATAAGTTTAAAGTTGTCTGTGACTGTTCTAGTTTTAAAACAGAACATCTGGCCATGTAAGGCTCGAGAGCACTTTTCGATAGGCTTGTCAAGCCTTATTGGGAACGCTTTACAGATATGGGTTTAATGGTCTTCTGAAAGAGCACTAGAACCAATTTAAATCAGGAAAGAGAGGCAGGTTTCGATAGCTGTGTGTTGCTGGTTCTGTTGCCAATGAGTTTATTACAGATTTTCCATTGTTAAGAAAGAGTTTCATACAGTCGTACTTTTTACAGGGTTTTGGGTTTTTTTTGCGGGGGGGGGGGGAAGGAAGACTATTGCAGGACGGCATGGAAGAGGAGCATATGGTAAAGAGAGGGTAAGCATCCCTGGTACTCCTCTTAACTCTTCCATTGTACCTATATCCTGTTAGTTGGGCTATTTCTGAATATAAGTGGAGGATTGTTTTGAAAGAATGCACAAGGCTGGCTTATTACAAGTGCCCAGTGTCCTTCTTTCTCCCAGGGTGTCTCCTTTCCATCAGTGACTTGTCAGCCACGCAGATTAATCATTATTTTCAAAAGAGTACTAGTCCCATTTTCAGAAACAGACATCACCAACATTTTAAAGTATGCTTTTGAATACAGGTAGAAGGCCAGATCCTGAAGTTGAAACTCAAACACTTTGGCCACCTAATGAGAAGGAAGGAGTCACTGGAGAAGGGCCTAATGCTGGGAAAGATTGAGGGCAGTAGAAGAAGGGGACGACAGAGAATGAGGTGGCTGGATGGAGTCACTGAAGCAGCAGGAGTGAGCTTAAATGGACTCCAGAAGATGGTAGAGGACAGGAAGGCCTGGAGGAACCTCGTCCATGGGATCGCGATGGGTCGGACACGACTTCGCAATTAACAACAACAACAAGTCCTTGAAATACAACCATTTGTTTTGTGACCATTCAGAGTTACAATGGCACCAAAAAAGTGACTTATATTTTTCACATTTACAACTGTTGCAGCTTCTCAATGGTCACGTGATCAAAATTTGGACGCTTGGCAACTGGCATGTATTTCTGATGGTTTTTGTGTATTTGTGATCACTTTTTACCTACTGTTGACAAGCAAAGTCAATGGGGAAGCCAGATTCCCTTAACAGCTGTATTACTAACTTAATGACTGCAGTGATTCAATTATCAACTGCGATAAGAAAGGTTGTAAAATGGGGGCAAAATTCACTTAACAACTGTCTTGCTTAGCAACAGAAATTTTGGGCTCAATTGTGGTCGTCAGTTGAGGACTACCCATACTTTCAAAATCTCTATTCGCCAACCTCATTTGTATTTACGCTGTGTGAGAGAGGTCAGTTTCAGGTGTGTTAAAACGTTTGCTGATTTCCTTATTAGGAAGTGCAATAAAATTAGAAATGTTTCACTATATTCAGGTTTTCATTAAAAATACTTTAAGCCTACATTAAAAATCTGAATTAATATGCTGTTTGCTAAATATTAAGAATGTTATTTTAAAAACCTCAACCCTAATCCTAACCTTAACCCTAACCCTACAAAAAAATAATAAAATATATATAAAAATCTGAGTTAAAGTTCATCTTAAATCGGTTCAAAAATGAAATGTGTTCAGCATTATGGCTGAACAGTAAAACATCAGGTTTTATTTGCTCTGATCAAAAGCTTCTTTGGAGGCAGATGTTGAACCATCTTGAATGCCCCCATAGTAGCCAGAAGATTTAGAGGCACCTATAGAAGACAACAGAGCCACTCATAGAAGATTAGTCCCTCCCTGCTTGCCAATTATGGACAATATAGCAGATGAATTTTTTGAGAGCTACATACAATCTCAAAAAAGGATTTACATATCCAATACTTCTACATTCTCCCACTTTGTCACATTGGGCGTATACAGTACTCCTTTTTATTTCTTTTTTAGGTAACTATGTATTTCAGAAATTATTCTATGGACCACGTCTGCATCCCAAAGCATTGCATCACAGACAGTAAATTGGCTAATGCTCCATGGGACAAGCCTGCCCATTTTGGCAATGCTACTGTATTCTATCACCAATGGTGCTATTAATTTGTAGTTTGGTTGAATTATCTCTGCTTCCCTAGCAGGCAAGTTGCCATCTTTCCAGCTCTAATTTATGTAATTGGGCTGCTGACCTCAGGATGACTAACAGGTAAAAAAAGGCAGACAGGCCCCACCCCACCCTTAGAGCCAGCAATCCTCCTCGTTTCTTTCTTTATTGCATCCCGCCTTTATTATCTTTACAAATAACTCAAGGCAGCGAACATATCCAACATACCTTCCTCCTCCTATTTTCCCCACAACAACCCTGCGAGGTGAGTCAAGCTGAGAGTGACTGGCTCAAATCATCGCCCAGCTGCCTTTCATCGCTAAGGCGGCACTTGAACTCACAATCTCCCGCTTTCACAGTGGTTCCTCAAAATATCAAGGAAATTTAAGAGTAAACCCCTGAAAGGACACCAATTGTATAAAGCTCCTCTGAGGCTTTGCAGAGTTTCCCCACCTGGGCGATTGGTGAAATAGACTGGAAAAAAAAAACCCACCAAAAAAAAAAAAAAAGCCAGCGCGTCCCTCTAGAGTCAAACCAACCAGACTCTCGACTCTTTCAGCACCTGAGATGGGGTTTGTTGTCTCGGACCCAGCCAGAACACCGAAAAGAGAGAAGAGGCGTGGATGAAACCAGCCCGAGCGAGCGCCAGCCACAAAACCAGGTCTGGAATTGCAGCGCCGCAGAGAAACCTGGGCAGGGATGAGCCGAGGGAGGCGGGACGGGCTCCTGGTACGTAAGGCGAGAGCTCGGTTGCTCGACACCCAAAGATTTCTCCGCCAGCCGAGAGCGGGGCAACGGCGGTGATTTATTAGTCTGCAATCTGGTTGCCAGAGGCTGGCCGAGGGCCTGATAAGCACCCTGAATGGAGCCTGATGTCATGCTCATGTCAAGCTGGTAGCTTCCCAGAGCAGAAAGCCCGGGAGCGTCCCTCAAGGGAAGAAAAAAGAAAAGAAGAAGAAGAAGAAGAAGAAAAAAAGAGACCTTCCTCAGTCTCGCCTCCCAACCCGCGTCGTTCCCAGCCCCGCCACCGCGCGCCGCCCCCGCTCCGGCGGGCTCAACTTTCGACTCCGGCGGCTGGGAGAAAAGGTCCCGGGGGCGGCCGGACTGCCAGTCCCGCCGGCTCCTCACCCCCGCTGATCTTCGACTCCTTGGAAAGGGAGGAGCGCCTCTTTGCCCTACCTAAAGCAGGTAAGCGCCGGGCTGGGTCCTCGCTGGGGGCGCGGGCTCTGCTCTTCTGCGGAAGGAGCTCGTTCGCAGCCGAGCCTCGCTCGGGATCTCCGGGAATTTGTCCCAGAAGATAACTTGAAGCATGGGGGGGGGGAAGCGGGGGGAGCGGGTTTCTTTCAGAAACGGGAGCGGCGGGGAAGGGGGAAGGAATGCCCTAATAATACAAAGCAGCTCTCCTTGCTTCCTGTTAGACGGTTCTCCTTGGCTTCGCTTCTGCTTTGTAGGAACTGGCAAGGTCGGGTAATCTTAACTACACGCCAGAAGTGTGGAGCCGCTGGATGGACCCAGTTCTTTCTAAAACTATAGGTGTTTTGTGTGTGCAAAGGGATACGCGTTTGGGTTATCCGACATTGTTTCTTTAAAAAAAAAAATCCTCAGCAAAGAGAGGCTTGAACCTTTAAAACCAGTCGGGAACATTCTTAATGTTTTGTTTGAGGAGTGTGATTGAGGAAAGAGGAAAACAAATAGCCCCTCCCAAATGGTTAGCACCCAGGGGCTTAAAATGGTAACTGGGAATTTGCAAGGCAAAATAGGGATTCTTTGTTGGTTGGTGTGTTTCTCTCTCCCTTTATGCACACACACACACACACACACACACACACACACACACGGGGGGGGGGAAAGAGAGGGAGGGGGGTAGAAATATACACACTCTCATGCACACACTCCCCCATTCATTCAGTCCCTCCCATTAAAGGGGATTGAATGTGGAGCAAAAGAACCCCGGTTCAAATCCTTGCCTGAGTCCTCAACAAACCTTTTGGCTGGTTAGAGTTGTTAGGAGCATGGCATTGAAGAGTACATGTTATCCCTAGGGCATTGGGAAGAAAGAGAAACTACAAAAATGTGAGAATATTTTTTTTAACCCACTTGGTGGTACTTTATGTACTCCATAAAGGGCGGTGAATTGTGGTGAGCTGGCTTTAAGAACCAAGCTACCTTATGGATCCTTTTTGGTTTCAAGTAGAAAATTGTACTACTATGCTAAGATACAGAATTCTTGAGTTCAGGCAAGCATTCACAAGGATTGCGAGTTAGCCAGAGGGGAATATTTGCTTTTTGCCTCTTCTCTGCAAACAAACATGAACTAAATTAAACTGGGACTTTGCTTCTTGACTAGGCAACATAGAAGATAAAATAATAGGATTGGAAGGGACTGTGCACATCTTTTAGTACTTTCCTAGGCTAAACAGGTGAAGTTGGAATCTTGTGTGAGTTTCCTTCCTCAAGTCAGTGTTGACTCCTCATGTCTGCCTGGACAAGTCCCTGCAGGGGTTTTTTTGGCAAATTTTCAGAAGTAGTGTGCTATTGGCTTCATTTCTGGGGCTGAGGCAGAGTGACTGGCCCAAGGTCACCCAGCTGATTTTGTGCCTCAAGCAGGACTAGAGCACATAGTCTTCCAGTTTCTAACCTGATGTTTTAACCACCACACCAAACTGGCACTCTTGAAGTAATAATCCATAAGCTGCTACAAGCTGTTTCCATGACTTTATCAAGTTTCCTTCTTAAAATACTCTTCAATAGATAACACTGCAGAATTATTAAGTCACTTTGATATCTGGAGCCTCTAGAGAGGGAACAATATGTTTCCCAGTCAGGTAACCTCAATATATTTGGTTTACAACTCTTGTGGTTTCTGACTTTCAGCCTTTGTGACTGAGGCTCATGGGAGCTGCAGTCAAAACCATCTGATGGACATCAGTTGAGGAATGCTCTTAGAATTAGGCCAATATATAATATGGACTGATACTTCCAGTCAATGTTATGGATACTGTCGACCTCCCAAACCTAGTCTGCAGAATTTAGGCTATCATAAACTGTCAATCACAACATATCCTAGTCTGCATTACAGGGTTATGCATTTGCTCTAGAACAGGGGCGTCCAATCTTGGCAGGACCTGTGGACCTCAACTCCCAGAATTCCCTAGCCAGAATTCTGGGAGTTGAAGTCCACAAGTCTTAAAGTTGCCAAGGTTGGACACTCCTGCTTTAGAATTTGCATGACCAGGCATAGTTTTAAAAATGTTTCGTACTGGCTGAGAAGTTTTGGCTATGTTTACATCACATACTGAAGCACAAATCTACCAACTACATTTCAGCCTTATATAGCATATGAATCAGCCACTGTGATTAATTTCTTGTTCATTGTATCAGGTAAACCCAGGATATTGAGTGAAATAGTTCGGTTAATTATAGATAAGGATGGTGAGTGAACATAGTCATTATTTGTTATATGCAGCTATACTTTTTTGAGGTAACTAAGTAGATAAGCTTTCACCAAACTCAGTTTCTGGAAGTTTGATATATACAATTTATTAGGAGCAGAATTCTAGATCTGAATACTCTTTGCAGGCAGATAGTGGTAGTTTGTGCTTTTAGGTAGATAGAGATATATATCTCTTCATCATCACTTGTCCCATAATGTCTGTATTTTATTTCTGTGTACTGCTGATTTGTTCTATGGGCATCACTTGCTATTCTCACTTTTGCCTTTTGGCCTGTATGAGCTGACCAAACCTGCATAATCTTGCTAAGAACAGTGTCTAGTAATCAAGCATATTTAAGATCAGGTTGTTGCTCTTTCCTACTGTAAGAGGACATCCTTGTGGGTTTGAAACCATGGAGAAAAGAGTCCCTGGGATCTATAAGAGTCTGGTGGCGCAGTGGCTAGAATGCGGTATTGCAGATTGACTCTGCCCACAACCTAGAGTTCGATCTTGACAGGGCTCAAGGTTGACTCAGCCTTCCATCCTTCCAAAGTCTGTAAAATGATTGTTCGGGGGAGGGGCAATATGGTGATTCTGTAAACCACCTAAAAAGAGCTGTACAGCACTATGAAGCCGTATATAAGCCTAAGTGCTATTGCTTATTGCTATTTTATGCCTTCTTTTTCCCTCCTGCTGGCCAAAAGAAATAATTGCTCACTGCTTCCTCCTTCCTCTGCCATTTCCACTTCTTCTGCCTACTACAGAGATGCGATTCTGGAAGCAGCCAACCTTCTTGAGACAGCCAGTAATTGCTTCTAGGTACCTTGGAAATGGTGCCTGTTTCCTGCAGAGGTGTGAATCATAGAAGAAGGGAATTTCTTTTTTAGTTTGGGGCCTGTTCTGCAGTTTGCCTATTTGCCTTGGAAAGAAAAACTATCTATAGAAATAAAGCAACTTTACCCATTATTTCTGTACTCTCTGAAAGCTATTGGGGAGGGAGAGTATATTTGTGTATAAACTGTACTTACTTTGTGTTGTCTATGGATGCAATGAGAAGGCAGCTCACTAAAGCATCCGGTGTAATGTATCATTTGGTACAAGGGGAGAAGTTGAAACAGAAGTGTTTAATAAAAATGTACTGTGCCTCCTGGCCTGCCATGGAAACCAGATGTCAGAACTGCGGCTTCTCATAGGCCCTTGATGCTGTTCCCCTCAAGCAATGTTTCCAACCCCTCCTTCTTAAAATGCCACATGTTATTTGCAAAGAGAATGTCGGAAAAGTAGTTCCATGAAGCTCAGACCTTTAATCCATCTGCAGCAGGGCTGCCTTTTCTAACCAGCGGTGGGTTTCAGACAGAGGTGCTTTTTATTAGTCCTGCTAAGTGAAGATGTGTGGAGGAACCCTGCAGCTTTCTTACAATGAAATAACAGCATGCTAACAGGGGTCTTCAGACAGTGGTGGGATTCAGCCAGTTCGCACCAGTTCGGCAGAACCAGTAGCTAATTTTTTGTTTCCCAGGCCCAGAATGGATTTCCAAAAGCATCATTCACACAGAAAACCAGTTGTTCACCTATTTTAAACTCACCACTGTGTTCAGATTATCCCTCGATAGCCGAGCCATTCTAGAGAAAACTAAGATAAATCTCAGGTACCACAACAAGGATAAACAAATGTTTTAATCAAGAGCTGCCTTACAGAGGGCCTTCTCCTAGTTTATTTTAGAATTTTAGATATTTTTCTTTTGTACATCGTGATTATTACTGGTCAGGGAATGTAGGCTTGGAAGTGTCTTTTCATCAAATGACTTATCTGGCCAGATGTGATTCAGTGCCATCTTTCAGAGAACAACGTTAGAAGTACGAGAAGCTTACTAGCGATGCATCCTACAAATTACACATTTGTGCAGTAATTGCACCTGGGGGGCTATAACATGTGAATGAGCATTGTACAAGAGATGAATTCTAATTGGAGGGAATGATAGCATGAATCTTCCCCTCCCTCATTCCTTTTAGAGTCTTAGGTTGGGAAAAAGGCATATCTGTTTTGTCCTTTGTCAAGTATATTAGATATATTCAGATTTGATTTCCCCCCCAGTTAAAAAAAATGGAAGCTCTCACCGACTTAGCAATATCCTAAACACAGATCTGTTTCAGTTAGTTCAAGACTGGACAGAAAGAAAGGTTAACAGCTAAGTATCTTACTGATCAGTAGTTTGAGGAAGTTTATTGAGGTGGATTTCCGGGGAAATGGCAGTGAAGTAAGCAGCAATGTTTACTTAAGGCTTCTGCAACATTAATTAATGCTGAATCATGTAGTTTGTTGGAGCACATGGGAGCAGGGCAAAAGTGCTAGCTCTAAGAATAGAGATGACAGTAACTAGCTTGCTCTGAATCCTTATTTGTTTAGTATATTTTTATCCAGCCTTTCTGATCTTATCCAGCCATTGATTGGATAAATCTGTAGTGTACGATTTTAGCAAAAAGACTGCATCAATCTGCTAACAGACCACACATTGACCCCAGATTCTTGTTGTTGTTAGATACGTAGGACTGCTATACCCGGGATGTAAAAAATCCAGTCATTCAATAGAAGATGACAAAAACGTAGGTTTTTGTGTCTCTTCACTATTCTCTAGTATCTGTCTGAATATATCAACTCAGAACTGGTAACCCTATAGTTTCTATGTAGAGAAAAATAATCCCTCTGTGTGTTTGTGTGAATAAATCTGTATATGTGTGTGTGTATACACAGTCATGCTCAAGGAAGTTAAAGAGAAGACTACTATGATAGGGAATGAGAATTGAGAAAATTACATGCACGTGGCCTATTGCATTAAGGAGGGCAAAAGTCTTTCCTTCCAGATGTTGAACTATCCCAGAATGGAAGTCCTCTACCACAGTTAGAATATACTAAAGGCCAAGTTGCCAGGCTCTTTTCTAAAAACTTAAGTCGTATGAACCTTGGGCTTGCAGTAATTCAAATATCAGAAATGCCTACATTTTTTCTTGTTGTTAATTCTCAAGGTAGAGCAAACAGGTTAAAACGAAAGACTTGACAGCTTCCAAACAATAATATCGGTAGTTGTTTCAAGCCAGCATGTTAATGGTGCTGGAAAATATACTTATTTTCCCGATAAGACATGCAGAGTAGAATTAAGCTTCACAAATAATGCTCTTTAAACTGAAATTGCACAATATTCTGCTAATAAGGAAACAATGGATATTGTAGTCATATCTCAGCAGTGTCTTAAATTAGGGAGCTTAGCTTTTGTTCATATAAGTAATTTAAAGTGTCATATGATAATGCATTTTTAAAAGGTATGTTTGATGTTCAAGCGTTTGTGTATTTTACCTAAATCTCTAAAATCTGCAAGCTTCCTATGGTATGTAGTTGCTTAAGATATTTTGTGCTTCCATTGTTGAGGCTGCACTTGAGAATATTAAAGGGCTAGCAGAAGATGCTGTAGCTTTTAGAGTGTAATGCTAAATCATCTCTAAGCCAAAAGTATAATCTATAATGGTAAACCTATCCAGCTTTGATGTCTAGAACATATAACTTAACGCAGTGCTCATTTACATAAGCTTGAAAAAGATCGTGTAAATATTAGAATTAATAGATTGAAAAGCTCTTATTAAATTAGCTTGCCATTTTTTTTACTGTATTGAAACACTTGGGAAAACAAATTGATAACTTTTAAAAAAACTTTTATATAAAAGTCTGTTGTCAGAAATGGTAGCAAAATGTTCATAGAGACTAAATAAATAGAAATCAACTGGACAGGAAATTCATTGGTGTGATGTTTTCTTGCTTAACCACAGCTTATAACTTTCCTGCCTTAATATTATTATTTTTAGCTGTTTGCAAACAGGATTCATACGCTTTCAACCCCAGAGGTACAATACAACATTAAAAGCTAAGTTTATAACTGAGATTCTCAAGTTTTCATCCAAACAACTGAGATTCCATATTAAATAGAAATAAAATCTAACAAGTGTATAGCTATGCTGGCTCAGGAATTCTGGGAGTTGAAGTCCACAAGTCATAAAAGAGCCGAGGTTGCCTACCCCTGGTATAGCAAGAGCACAGCGATTTCCTGATCTGACCCTTAGCAAAAGAGCCCCTTTAAAGGACCCCTACTAAAAGTTGTTGCTTTATATTCTGGCACTCTGCGATGCACGGGTCTCTTTAAACTAATGCCTTTGGGTGTCAAGATTACTATTGGTAGAATGTGAAAAGCCGGATACGGAGAAGGTTTAAGGGTTCTTCTTTTGGTTGCAAATGTTCAGCAAATAGGATGGTAGCCTGTCTGAGTAGGAAATGAGTTCCCACCAATGGAACGGGATTGGCTGCTTTTTAGATCTGAAAAGGCCTGAATCCATAGACATGAAGAGGATTATTCAAAATCAATCCTTCCAAACAGAGCTGCCTTCTAAATAGAGAGGAAACCAAAGTCTACAAAGCTCCCAGGTACCGGCCCCTGAAACATACCTTAGCCCTGATTGGTCCTCTGAGCCTGGGAATCAGACAAGTTCAGAGTGGGAGTCCAGGAAAGGGAGGGCTAGAGGAGCACAGCTGATCTGGGAATTGTTTTACAATGAAATGGAGGGGCAGAATTCTTGTTGTTATGGTTGTTCCCCGGAACAGTTTTAGCCAAAGAGAGAGGTTCTTTATATGGAGTCTGTGTATTTAGTCTGTGTATTTTCTCTTTCCCACCCACCCCCTTAGCCCCTGCACTGTGTTTTGTCTAAAGATAAGATGTAGTGTCAGCCTCCTTTTCTCTCTGCAGATTTCATGGATCTGCCACTAAGAGATCTGCCACAACTTAGCAAAAGAAGTGGGAGATGGTGCAAACCTTTTCTATCTCTGCAGGAGAAGGAAAGGCCTCTCTGATGAACTTGCTTTGAACCTTTGTAAATGTTTACATCAACAGTGTTGTAAATGTTTACATCAACAGTGTTGTAAATGTTTACATCAATAGTGTTGTAAATGTTTACATCAATAGTGTTGTAAATGTTTACATCAATAGTGTTCATCCCTTCCGCCGGTAGCCACCAAAATCCGCCTATTTGGTATACCAATTCACCTGCTTGATTTTTTTTTCTTTGTATGACCCTGCAATCCTTTGCTTCGGGGTGGCGTTTTTTTCTTTGTATGACCCTGCAATCCTTTGCTTCGGTGTGGCGTCAGGACAACTGAGTGGAGCTGAGCATTTATCGGCCAGATGCCCTTCCTGATGACTATGCGGAGTTCACAGCAGATATTTTCTCTTTATGCCCTGATAGAGAAGCATCGGTCACTGCCTAGAATTGAATTCTCAACCTTCCGAGTTGGGAGGCGAAAGTCTTCACCTCTAGGCCTGCTCAACTAATCTGCTTGATTAAGATTCTGTTATTTCACTCTTTTTTTGGTCAGGAAGCAGGCGGTTCCTGGTCCTTAACAAGTTCAGCCAGATGCACTCATAATGGCTCTTTAGACCTTCTTTGTCAATATGGGAAGGTTCTTGATGAAGAAGGCAACAGAGAGCTATCCTTGCTTTTCTCCATGTCTGAAGAGGGTACTTACTGGTGACCATCTCAAGACTGGGGATGACTGCATCATGGCAGAGCAGTTTCTTTGCCTGTACAAGCTTCATGCTCATTTTGGCCATTCTCGGAAGAAGGAAGAAAGCCTGCTCGTATCTGTGGGTACTACTGAACTGGTGGCATCATGTTTTGACTTGGTACAAGGGAAATGATTCGGTGAAGTGTTTGGCAGTGTAAGGATTGGAATCTCAGCTTTTCTTGTTGACGGGATACCCTATTTCAGTGTTTCTCAACCTTGACAATTTTAAGGCATGTGGACTTCAACTCCCAGAATTCCACAGCCAGCAATGCTGGCTGTGGAATTCTGGGAGTTGAAGTCCACATGCCTTAAAATTGTCAAGGTTGAGAAACACTGCCCTATTTACTTCTTGTATGCTTCTAATATATTAATTTCTCCACAAACTAGAATGGGAGAGGGAAATGAAAAGCCTCTCTAACTTAGACAGGCCATCTGCTCAGTGGCTACTGCCATCCTCTGCCCTATTCTGAGCCTTCTAAAGACAGTAACTTTTGACATCAGATGATGACTTTTTTCTTTCTACTTTAAAATTGTAGATTGGTTGTATTGGCCAGATTCTTGGTTTTTAATCTCTGAGGGTTTTTTTTTTAAAAAAATCTATGTTTAAGATTTTATAGTAATTTTACAGTTCAGTGTCATAATGCTTCCTTTAGTACAGTCCTTCAGACTGCTGTAAGTTTTTAACTATACTGTAAATCACAAAACACGGTGCGACGGAAATATAAAGAACTGCCTTATAGCAAATCAACTTGTGACATCTGTCTGTATCCTGTTTTACCAATAGTAAACTTAACCTAGGTTTATGGATTTAATCTAATTTGGGGGGTTCACTGAGCCATGAATTCACACAGGTTTGGTCAACTGCAAGTTAAAAGTGGCAGGCTAGTTTAAATCTGTGTCATGCAAAAACAGTTACTGACTGGCCATATTAGTTGCAGGTTTTTTTTAATCCAGGCACAATCACATCAGTGTTACATAGGACACCTACTACTGGATTTTCTGACCTTAGAAAACTGTAGGTCCAGGGGCCTTAAATTCATCTGAGTGCTGCTGTTATTAGCTAAATAATGTATACAGAATAGGAAATTCTTGATCTGCCTTAGCCATTAGCCTTCTGTGATCTAGAGAAAGTGTTAAGTCGTCATTCTCCCCAATAAATTGTCTTCCAGATTTTGGGGTACAACTATAAGTCCCAGGCAGCATGGCCCATGATTGGAGGTAATGGAACTTAAAGTTTTATAGAACCATTAAGCTGAATAATGTAGATGCATAACATTCAATCGCCCAGCTCTGATCCTTTAATAAACTTGAAGGTTCTTGTACTTAGTTAAAAGTTCTAAATTTAGCTGTCCTCTGGAACATGTAGTTTGGCTGGCATGGAAAAGTGATTTCAAGAAGTAGAGCCGTATCAAATAAATCTTGATCCTTGACTAACCTTCCCACTATAAGCTTTTCTATCTTCACCAGTATTTCTCAGAGTAATAATCAACTTAGAACAGACACTTTTAAGAGCCTAGCAGTGCTCTTAAAGGTATTTTAAGAAGTGAACCAAAGAAATCCAGTTAATATGGTCGAGTACTATCACTAGGATAGAGTTAGATGACTCCTTGAGGCCTCAAGACTTTGTATGGGCTTCCAAAATTCTGGATACATAACCCTTCTAAAAGTTATCCTCAAATTGTAATGTTTAATGTGACACAAGGTGTAAGGTATTAAGTAAGGAAAATATTCACTTGGACAGTATTTTATTCAGGTTTAATAAGTCCTATTTTGTCTTGGTTGTGTTCATGTTCAGGGTATGATCCTTGGTATATGATCCAAAGGCCGAATAATGATTCTCAGTTGCAAAAATACTGGGCATGTCTGGACAAGAAAAATACTAAAAATATCTCATGCATTTTCATATAGACACTGTATCTTTTCTTTTCTTTTAGTTCTTTCCTGAAGAGCCAAGAATATTTCCCATCATTCCACCATGATGGCCACACCCAGGACACTATTGCCATGTCTTTGGCTTCTTGTGCTTTCCATGAAAACATGCTTAGCTCAAGAGACTTCATCACCACCACCATCACCACCACCAGGATGTGGCAAGGACTTGAACTCCATCTACTACAACCTCTGTGACCTATCTGTCGCCTGGGGCATTGTGTTAGAAGCCGTGGCCAGCTTTGGTGTTGTTATCAGCTTTGTCCTCACTGTGGTCCTAGTGGCCAGTTTGCCTTTTATCCAAGACTACCGGAAGAAGAGCTTAATAGGGACTCAAGCTTTCTTTCTGTTGGGCACTTTAGGGCTTTTCTGCTTGACCTTTGCTTTCATTGTCAAGCAAGACTTCTCAACATGTGTTTCACGACGTTTCCTCTTTGGTGTCCTCTTTGCTATCTGCTTCTCCTGCCTGGCTGCCCATAGCCTCAGTCTCAATTTCTTTGCACGGCAAAACACTGGGCCTCGGGGATGGGTCACCTTTGGCATGGCTTTGGTCCTCGTCTTGGTTGAAGTCATCATCAACACCGAGTGGCTCATTATCACTGTGGTGAGGAATGATGGTACTGCCAAGGATCCTTGTGAACTGAAGAATGAGGACTTTGTCATGGCACTCATCTACGTAATGTTCCTGCAAGTAGCTACTTTTATTGCTACTTGGCCGGTCTTATGTGGACATTACAAGCACTGGAGAAAGCACGCTGTTTTCATTCTCCTCACAACTTCCTTTTCCATGGCCATCTGGATAGTATGGATTGTTATGTATGTTTATGGCAACCAGCAGGACCAGAGACCAACTTGGGATGACCCCACATTGGCTATTGCTCTTGTATCCAATGCAACAGTTTTTGTTTTCTTTTATGTCATTCCTGAGATTTCTCAGGTGATCAAGCCGGGACCAGAGCAAGCCTATGAGGATGATGTCTACCCCACACGGGGGGTTGGCTACGAAACAATCCTCAAGGAGCAGAAATCCCAAAGCATGTTCGTGGAGAACAAAGCTTTCTCAATGGATGAACCTTCTTCAGGTAGGCTTGTGATATTGATGAAGAGACCAGGGGAAGGGGGGAAAGATACAATGTGATCAGAGGAACTGCATCCAGGATTATGGTTGACCTACAAACACAACTGGGGCCAGAATTTCATAAATGAGTTGTGTCCAATTTTATGACCTTTTTTTTTTGCCATAGCTGTTAAGGGAATCATGCAGTTAAGTGAATCTGGCTTCCCCCATTAATTCTGTTTATCAGAACCCAGCCAAGAAGGTCACAAATGGCAAGCCCAGGACCAGGGGAGTCTGGAACCATCTTAAATACATGCCACATGCCAAGGGTCCGAATTTTCACTATGGGGACACACTGCAACCGTCATAAGTTTGAGGGGCGGTTGTAAGTCACTTTTTTTTTACTCCTGTTGTAACTGAATGGTTTCTAATTGTCCTGAAAAATTATTTATTCTGCTTCTCTCCCCCCTCCCCCCTCCCCCCTCTTTTTAGCACAGTGTTGCCTATGGGTGGGTATCTTAGTCATCGGTATCTGTGACCCAGCTGGAGAAGATCAGAAAAATAGATGCATCTGGTGGTGATAGAGAATCAAGTTCACACAACTGCCTCTCTCAGGGTGTGCTGTTATGGTTGTCTGAATTTGTAGATTCCCAGGAGTACTGGATATCCTGTAATCTGTACAAGAATGGTGCTATCATTGTAGCACAATTTTGGGGCAGGGAGCTTAGATAGCATTAATGCAAGCAAACATCTGATTTCTAGTCTATGATGTTATAACAGTTCTTTGTCTCCTCTAATTTTGTAGCTGAATTTTCTAACTCTATTGGACAGTAGCTCCGTAGATGGAACAATATTTTTTTTCATAGTACGAAAATTCAGACAGGTTTGCTAAATCTCAATAATTGGGGCTTTCTGTCTTAAAATATACATGTAAATAAAATTATAAAGGCTATATTTTAATGGGAGGAAGTAAGTCTAGTGGAGTTTATATCTAAGTTTACATAGAGATAACTGAGACGTAAACTTATTATGTACTTACAAGATTTCTAGGCTCATACCTTCAGAAATATCCCTATATTTTGAAATGTCCAAAGACTGCCTGCTGAGAAAGATAAAAATGTAACACTATAAATAAAAACCAAGGTATCACATTAAAACTATTTTCAGCTAAGGTAAAATCAATTTAGAATAGTACATCCAGTAGCTGAGTTCATCTTTTTATTTTATATGATTTGAAGAGAAACTGGCTAAGATCAGATGCAACGCAGGATAGAACTTGTTGATTATGTATCACAGACATGTCAAACGGCCCGCAAAGTGGTTTCATGTGGCCCGCAAAGCCATCCTGGAAACAGTGAGGGAATGGCCCCCTCTGCCTTGGCCCTGGCCCAGGCCGGCCAGGAGCCAATGTACAATTTTGTGGTGGCCATCTGTGCTGAAATGCATTCAGTCTTAGCTCCATAAGCCCCCTCCCCCAGCATGGCCTGAGAGGAACATTTAGTCTCCTCCAGTGGACCATGCCTTGGCACTTGCCTTGGTCCCACCCCTTTCTGCCAGAGACCCTCAGATCTATCCCACTCCCCCACAGGCATCCTTGACGCGAACGATGTAGAGCTGGCCATGCCCACCCAGTAGGCCACACCCACTCCATCCACGCCCACCCAGTAGGCCACATCCACCCTGGCCACACCCACACGGCCCCTTGAGGGCAACTGCAAAGCTGATGCAGCCCTCAATGAAATTGGGTTTGACACCCCTGATGTATCATATACAAATGGACTCAACATAATAAGCAAGATTTATTTTAAGCCCAGACTGTCAGTTTGAAATTATGGCTTATTGTCATTGGCTTACTGATTACATCAGCCATGTTGCTGGGGCCCGAAGAGAGCTGACCTTCAGAGCATCAAAACAATCAACTTTGTCTCGTGAGTGCCATAAATCCAGATGGATTTTCTTGTTCACAAAAAGTCTCCAAGCACCTTGAGCTCATTAAAACTTACTTTGTCTATAGTTACCCACAAACAAGACTTTGTTTTATGGGCGGCTTATGAAAGAAAAATCCCAGTAGCTTTCTGATGGCTTTTTCATTGGACTGCATTGATCAGACGATGCTAATAAGCAACAGGAACCCAATGGAAAGAATTACAGCTATTGTTTATACAGGTGTACTTGTAAGAAAGGATGCCATTAATTTGGGGAAGAGTTGTGAGGATTTAGCTTTTTTTTTTTTTTTAAAAAAAGTATACACTTCTATACAGACTTGTGACTTTATTTGTTAGGGTCTCTCTCGCTCTCTTTTTCTATTTTTATTTTTTTCTGCTCCTGGAGCTATATAAAAGTAGCTGGACACATAAACCCAGTGTGCTAAGACTTTAATACACCTTTACAGGTAGTACTTGACTTACAACTTTAATTGAGCCCAGAATTACAGTCATAAGTCATGGCCATTGTGAAACAGTGCACCCTGTGACTGCATTCAGTTTTACAACCATTTTTTTGCAGCGGTTGTTAAACAAATATCATGGTCATTAAGCAAATGCCGCGGTTGTTAAGCCAACACAGTGGTTGTTTAATGAGTCCCTTTTCCCTAATGGGCATATTTTTTTGCCAGAAAAAAGTATACATGGGAGGCCAGAAAAAAAAAAAAAAAAAAAAAGCCAAAAACTGTAGTCACCTGACTGTGGGATGCTGCAAACAGTTGTTGGAATTTTGGCCCCCAAATTGTTTTTAAGATAATCTTTCTCTTATTCCACATGAAATCCTACAGTCTCAGGGGGGAGCTATCTAACGAGGCTGTGCTAGAAAATCGGGTCTAGGACAACTCAGCACGGCCGACTCACCGCAGGACAAGAGTTACACTAATATCAAAGAAATGGTAGAATAGAATAATTAAAAATAGGATGCAAAAGGAGGGACAAAATAAAATGTGAATGACAGAAATTAAATTTTTTTAAAAATATTTTAAATACTTAAATTGAATAATTGAATTGTTCCGCAGTGAGTTGTCCTGCTGCGGTGAGCTGGCCACGGGGGGTTGGCCGTGGTGAGTTGGCTGCGGCGAGTTGACCACACTAAGTTGTCCCATTCTGAGAAAATCAACATAATTTTACATCTAGCAACCAAGTTATACAAATTATTGACCATCATTCTTCTCCAGATTTTGTCATTCAAACCATGCTAGTTTTGCTCTTGAAAATGTTTGTAATAGTGTACTTAAATGTTATTGTCCTGTGGTTTCTCTCATTCCAGCTAAAAAGCCTGTGTCCCCATACAGCGGATACAATGGGCAGCTTCTGACAACTGTCTATCAGCCCACAGAGATGACTGTAATGCACACTGGGCCTGTAAGTGAATGTGCGGTTGTGCTGGCAGCTGCTTCTCCTCCTCCTCTTGCTTGTCAGTAGCTTAATTTGTTAGGTAGCAGGCTTAGAAGAAACAAACCATTTCTATAAAAGACATTAGAAGAAGACACCATCCTTGACCAGAGAAATGAAAGCTTGTCTGAGAGGTTAAATCCAAAAATTATGTCAGATATAGGTTGGAAAGGGGTCATCAGAAGCAGGAGTCATTTGAGGGTATAGTTTGTAAATAAAAGCTGGATAGTCTCATCGCTGTTTTTGCGCAAACTTTTTTTAAAAAAATGTTTAAATGGCAAATTCATGGCTTTTTTAATCTTGATTTTTGTGTGTGTGTGTATATTTATATATCTATCTATCATCTACAGTATCTATATCTATATCATCTATCTATCTATATCTATATCATCTATATCTCTATCTCCCTATATCTATCTATCTTTTTATCTATCTATCTATCTATCTATCTATCTATCTATCTATCTATCTATCTATCATTCCATTTTTCAAAGAAAAAACAATGCAAATAAAATTAAAATAAACAATTTACCCTTTAGAGATACTTAAGAAGAAACATTATGCAACAAAATGAAGAAACAAAAACTGTGATTGCAACTGTGTAATGCCTATTTACCAAACACAGAAGGATATGAGATGGCAAATTCCCTTGATCTCTCTTTTCCTAAGTAGAGGAAGTTTAGCTCAGTTGTTGCTTAGGTCAGGGGTCCCCAACCCCCGGTCTGTGGACCAGTACTGGGCTGTGACGTGCCAGCAACTGGTCCGCATAAACAAGCAAAGCTCCATCCGCGAGATGCAGGCAGCACACAAAACCACACACCCTCCAATCCATGGAAAAACCTCTCTCCACGGAACCGGTCCCTGGTACCCAAAAGATTGGGGAACCTCTGGCTTAGGTTATGAAGATTTGTTCATTTATAGTTACTCTCACCTGAATTGATATTGCTTACAATAATTTAGTGCCTCAGGTGTTTCCTGTGAGAGCCAGGCCTTCTACATCAATTTTCTGGGCAGCTGTTATTGAGGTTTTGATCCTGTACAATTAAAGAATCCAGAGATCTAAGGGTTCAGGAAAGGCTTGAAAACTTGAGTTGTGGGTCTCATGTGAAATGGCATAAATTATGCTCACTCTTCCTGAATAGTGACCTTTAATTACTGTTTAACAGTGGTTTGCCTTTGAAATATCTCAGTCTTCCTTGAGCTGTTCAGTTTTTTCCCCTGCACAATTCTAAGCCTACATCCTAGTTACCAAAGCTAATAAATGTCAAGGCTAGTTTGACAGAGCTTAGTGAGACTCTAAGCTTATAACTGTGTTAGGAAATGAGAACATACAAGTGAAGGGCCCTTGGTGCTCTCTGAGCTTGGTTGTTTTCTTGCAAATTTTTCATTACTCAGAACTAGATAAGCATCATCAGCACTGATGATGTTACCTTGTTTGGATAATGAAATGTTTGCAAGAAAGCAACCAAGTTCAGAGAGCACCAAGGACCCCTTCCTTTCAACCTGAGCTACAAATATTTTCCTTTATTGAAAATACAAATCTGTGAAAAGCCTTTTTTAGTGCCTTACAAATATTTTGGAATCAGCAATAATGGTTTTGGTTTCTTTTGCAATGACAGTCATGTTTCAAAAACATGATTATACTTTTTACCCCATTTTTACTATTTATTATTTTTATTGGCTCCAGCTGGATGCCCCTTACGATGTCATCCTCCCTCGTGCTACGGCCAACAGCCAAGTGATGGGCAGTGCCAATTCTACCCTGCGTGCTGATGATGCTTATGTTTCACAGAGTAAGCAGGCATTGGCTCAGAAAGATGGAAGGAATGGGCAGATGAGTGAAATGGTAAGCTTTGGACTTTCTGTTGTACTCTTAGGAGCAACTGAATTCTCATCCCTCCCAGCCACTGATATAATTAGTGGATCTGACCTTTCTGCTTATATGCTGCGGGTAAAATAGATCAGCCTGTCTCTTTCCCAGTTACATTCCTAATGTAAAGAACCTAACATCTTAATGTCTTAATGTTTTGCCTTAGGCTTCATCTCCATATAGCAAGCACAGATGGTAGAAGTTTTGAATCCTGATTTCCACACATCCTGTTCCTTGAGGATGCCTTGCAAAGCCTGCCTCCACAAAGGAGCATCTAACTGAGGCAAGGCCTCAGATAGACATGGAGATGTCATCTTGGGAACCGAGAAGATTTCATCTTGGTTGCTGAGGCAATGTGTTTCTTTTTCTCCTGCATAAACCAAGTGTTCTACTTGACATCTGTTACAGTCAATCTGGGTCACTGGGTCAGGATGCCACTTCCTATTCTATGTTCCAAACAGTGAGCCTTCTATTCTCCTTGGAGCCCTCAGTCAAATTTATAATTCCACCTCTGTTTTGCCCGTATTTTGAGAGCCTCCCTTATTTTCACCCCACCAATGATGGACAACATTCAGTGCTCATTTTGTACAAATATGGCGTTATGAGTGCTGAGAAGTTCCAATCTACAGTTCATAGTTCAGCCTCTTGTGGATGAATAGATGGTTCCTGCATCTTCCCATCTCGTGTTCACTCCCACAAGGGAATGCTTTGGAAATTAGAAGGGTATCTCTCCAGTTCTTAATAGAGGCCATTCTTCTTAATGGAGAGAGAGAAACTGGTCAAATGTAGCAAGAACTCTTGTTTGAAGTATGTTGTGCTTTCTCCTAATCCTTCTGCCTTTGGACCAAACCCTGGAATGTGACATCATGGTATTGTTCTTGGAATCTTTATTATCTCCTCTTCTGTTAACCCCTCCTTATTACGAAAATTAAGGCTGCATATCTTTTTTTAAAAAATGCTTGGTGTTTACTTTGAATGTCTGTGTTTATGCACCAGGGAGGATCTACTTTATATTGTGGTCAGAGTCTAAACATTCTTACCTGACGTTGACAACCAACTTGGTGATTGAACATGTTGGAGACACCATTGGACATGAAAGAGGGAAGCCATATTAAAATGATACTTTATTTCATGAGGTATAAAATGGTGGGACTTGCAAGACTGCTGTCAGTAACTGTTTTGTCAAAAAGGTTTGTTGCCAATTGTGTTTTCAGTATGGATAAGCCTTCCTTAACTTGATCTTCTCTAAATTTTAAGGATTACAACTATCATCCAAGCCAGAGTGGGAGTGCAAGATAATTGGTAGACACAGATTGGGAAAATAAAAAATGCAAAACTTTGAAAGGAAAATGAAGGAATTTAACTGCAAGGAATGGCCAGAGGGCTCCATAATGCAAGAGATGGGTGGTGTCATGTAACTGCACAAAATATTTCAGTTTTCAAGGATTATGCTGCTGAAATGGAATTTTGCTACGGAATGGATGCTGTTAGGCTTAAAAACATCTGGGAGTGGCAGTTTCACTACAGAAATGTAATTGTCTCTTTTTGGCATTACTCATCTTGCTTTACCTTGTCCTCACTAGGTGAGGATGAATTATCCCATTCAAGATATTTTATTCTGCTGACTTATTCTTTCTCATCTTTTTGTGCTGTTCTTTGGGGAATTATTCAGGCTCTGGCTTTAATTTGAAATAACATCTTTCCCCGGGTAGAGGTGTCTCCCAACCACCTCTGATAAAATGCACAGTCATATGCCTCAATAAATCTGTTTGATATGCCTTTGGTCCTTTTCATGGTATCCCACTTTCTCTTCATGCCTTGGTGTGCTAGTTCCTGGCTTATAGCCTGCCTGTCCTTTTGCCCCTAGGATGATTGTGTGCCATTTTTCTCTTTGCCTCTTCTTCCCTCTCTGGGCAGAAAAAGGCTGTTTCTCTCTCCTATGCTGGCAGGAGAAAGAAGCTACCTTGATAAAAAGAAGCGCTGCCCACTTCTTGCAATGCCTTTTCATCAGGTCTTCTCCTGGCCTCCTAGACTGATATCCTCTGAAATTTAGCTTGCCTTTATTGTGTAAGCATTTTGAGCAGGCAAATTCTTTTCAGACTTCTCCAACATAGGAGCCTCCAAATATGCAGGGACAGTGACTCCATGAATGTTTTTGGACCGTGTTCTGATTGGAAAGGTGTTCTCTACTGTCCGTAGAAGGACCATACCCTGCCTGTAGAGTCTGTGCTCAAGAAGTGGAAGGACCAACTTGACACTGACTCAGACCATGGCTCATCTTCAAGAGGCTTGCATTGAGTCATGATTTCTGCCTGTCTTGCTGAGAATGCTGTTCTGTGCCTTGCTAGGGGATGAGTGTGCTTCTAGCTCTTGGCTGAAAGATTCTCTGCTCTGATAATGAGGAATGATGTAATCTCCATCTGCTAATGCAAGCTGAGTAAATGGCAGAGGGCTGTCGCTGACTGCTGTTTCATCCAAGCTACCCTTTAAGCTGGGATTGGGGAAGTGGTTCTTATCGATATGGCTTTTTAAATTCCGAATGGTCTGACAAATTAAATATTTTTTTTCCTAAAAGTGGCTTCTGACTTCTTGTTTTGTCATGTTCTTTTGTGGGTTTGAGAACAAAGGAGGAGGAGTTGACAAAAAGAAGGGCAAAAATTAAAAATATTTCTCTTCTGACTCTTTATTGTGCATATCCTAACTCTGTGGTGGCAAACCTATGGCACGCGTGCCACAGGTGGCATGCAGAGCCCTCTCTGTGGGCATGCGCACCGTCGCCCCAATCCTAGGCCTTCAGCTGGGTTTTATAAAACCTTTTCGCTTTAGGCCTCTGCCACCATGTTCAAAAAAACCAAACATTCAATCAATCAATTTCAACTTCTCGCGGGAAAAAAAAGATCTCGCAAAATTGGAATTGATTGATTGAACTTTTTAGTCCCACCCAGTCTGCCGTTACCACCACAGCCACACCCCACCCAATGGGCCACACCCACTCGGCACCCGACAATATATAAATGGGTTTTGGGTTGCAGTTTGGGCACTCAGTCTCTAAAAGGTTCGCCATCACTGTGCTAACTGATGGCTTCAGCTACTTAATAGGAAGGGCTTGGATTTCCCAGAATGTTGAACTTGATTATTCTATGATTTGAAAACTCAGATCTTTTTATTTGACACAGGATTTATTTTCTGGACAATGTATGGAACATATTCTGTTCCAGTCTGGGCAATGTTTTTGTTTTATTCTTGTTCTTTTCTTTTTAACTTTTTTTTTTAAAGGTTGCCTTAAAAGACAAGTACTCTGCCTAGGTATTTATACTAATAATATTACCTGTAATACATTTTGAAGCAATAAACATTGATTCCAACATTCTCTCTTTTTTCCCAGCATACAGGAATATTCTTCCTTGTGGCCATGATTTCCTGTCCGAATTATTGTATGAGAATCCCCTCATCTTTGTACCAGATGTCCCAAAGTGCTTTTCAAAAGGCAACTGGACTTTCTTATTTTTTTTTTCTTGGAAATGTTTCACTTCTCATCCAAGAAGCTTCTTCAGTTCTGAAAAAGAAGCAGAACTGAAGAAGCTTCTTGGATAAGAAGTAAAAAGTTTTCAAGCAAAAAAAAAAAAAAACCCAAGACAGTCCAGTTGCCTTCTGAAAAACACTTTTGGGACAACTATGACCTGGATCAGAGGTCTTCAAACTTGGCCCTTTTATGACTTGTGGACTTCAACTCCCAGAATTCTTCAGCCAGCCATGCTGGCTGAGGAATTCTGGGGGTTGAAGTCCACAAGTCATAAAAGGGCCAGGTTTGAAGACCCCTGACCTGGATGATTGAGAATCTCCATAGACGCTCTGTACTAGATGTTGTGGAACTAAACAAATAAGGTGGCAAGGCCCTATTTTCTGTGTGCTGAGAGCATTTCAACCTATCTACAAACAGGGGATCTTTCATTATCTAGGAGTCCAGTGATCAAGAACTGGCTACTATTTCCTGCTAAAATTGCAGATTTGTTACCTCTCTTTAGGGCTGTTGCTATCTTCAAGTTACAAGCAGTTTATCTTGAATACCAGCTGCTAAAGAATAACAAAGAAGCTACACTATCTAGTTGGGCACTATGTGACAAAGAATGCTGGATTAGATAGCCCCTTGGTCTGATTCAGCAGGCTCCTCTTGGGATCTTCTGATTATGTCACTCTTTTTTTACAGAAGTACAGTGGTTGGCTGGTTGTCATTGTGGTGTATTCCAGCCTCTTTAGACTGGTACTCATGTAGCTGTATTAGTCTTGCAATTCTCTGAATTTCTAGCCAATTGTTTTTTGCTCTTCTACAAAGTTGGAGGTGGGGTGCCAGTACAGAGATAGTGATTTTTTTTCCCAATAAGGATATTTTTTTTTCCTTAGTGGAGTCCTTGGTGCTCTCTAAGCGTGGTTATTTTCTTGCAAAATTTCATTACCAAACTAGGCAACACCATCAATCCATTCTTTTCTTTCTCCTTATATGGTGATTTCAGGCCAGATTAGGCCACTACATGATGGTGCTAACTACAAGAAAAAGAAACTGCACATTATATTATTAGCTTACAGCCCAACCATGGACTTGACAGTTTTAGGAGTAGCAGTAGACCTCTTTCTCAAATAATTATATTTTGAATGGAGAACACAAGTTTGTAGTTGTCCTCTGAAATGGTGAGCAAAATTTGTGAATGTATGATGTATGTCAAGATCTTCCAAAAAATATTTCTGCGGACTCCACTTTTATAGTAATAGTGTCAACAGTGTTGAACAGTATCAATGGAACCAGTGTTCTAACTACAACTATATTGTGTTCTGTCAAAAAAATGATGATTTAGATTTTTTAAAAAAAGAGCAGCAGTTTATTAGTCCATCTATCATCGTGGGTGCTCTTTTTAATATGTCTAAAAAACTGCTACGTGGTCTATTTGCTGAAATGCGCCACAAAATTTGTTACTATGCTTGAGGTGTTTCTCAAGCAGGAGAATGAAATGACTATAATGTCTTCTGAAGCGTGACATTGTTTTCAAAACACAATAGCCCTAAACAAACTTTTCTGGAGTGCTTCGATTAATACATGGTGGAATGGAGGTCATGCCAAGTTCAGGGGCTACATTCCTTGGCCGGATAGCCGGATAGCCTTTCGTATTGGCAGCAATTTTGCTGCCACTCCCGGAAATGGCAGCCTGAGCAAACCGCACCTCCATTAATTATTTAGCTGCCGGATTGCTGTACTGAAGCTCTGTGACCTCTCTTAGTCCTTGGGACAGGCTGGGACGGAGGGAAGAGCTGCAGAAGCTGCCTTGTTAGCTTGGTAAACAGCTTGGTCTATTTTATGATAGGCCTGCCATTGGCATCTCTCCTTCTGCCAGATTAGAGAGTGATCTGATCTGAATGAGTGTTTTCATAGTGTAACCCCAAATTCTTGGCCAGTACAGTTCTTGTCCGGCTGATCCAGCTCCCCTCTAAGGGGGCAGAATTATTACGGTTATAAATTCTTCTTAGCTTGGATCACGATGACCTCCAAGCCTCTGTTTCAGGGCTGCTCGGTATCTCACCATTTGTGAGGTAGCTTGTTCTGGTTATACAATAACTATTTATTCAAGAGTGGCCGTATGGCAGGTCCCAACTGCAGTACATCAAAATCAAAGGGCTGAGATTCTGCATCACACATCCATTAAAGGAGCTCGTAGTATAGATTTAACCCTCCCCCCTTTTCCGGCTCCTCCCCTTTAATCAGAAGGCTCTTACTTAGAAAGGTAAAACAAGTGGGGAAAAAAGAGCTTTCCTTGGCTGTGTTGGTACAATATGCTTACTCATAGTTAACCACCGTTTATTAATACAATTCTCTGGGTTTGCCCTGAACTGTACAGCTGGCATATACCAAACAAGTCATCCAAATGGACTAGCTTAAAAATGGTCGGCTAATTTATAGCTCATAAAGCACATTTTAGAAGGGAGGCTTTGAAAGAAATGGATAGTCTTTAGTAAATCAACAGTTACCACCCAAGGTAACTGCTCCCAGTTGCTATGATAGTTCAGTGAAACTTCTTTATTCAAGTTCTAATGTTGAGGAGGACAAATAGTAAAGGAATGCTTTTGCCTTTACCCTCTATTCAATTCCCAGAAATGTTTGGCTAACTACTGGTGAAAAGGTTAGGCAGGAATGAGTGATGTGCCCCAAATTACAATATGAATAGGAGGTATAGATGGAAGTGATAGAAGTCTTCAGCATTTTTAGCAATAGGAATATCACAGCTGGAGAGAGAAGCCTTCCCTAAAAACATTTTGATTATGCATCTGTGTCTTGGTTTTTTAATTGTCTCCAAAAATAGAGGATTTGGTGCCAAGTTTTTATAGGAACTTTTCAGGTTTTTAATTGCATCTAATTTGGAAGAGTGAGTCATTCCTACCAACAATATATCTCAAGAAAGTGACTCCCTGAAAAGCTGCATGAGTTCCTTGCTAAATGTTTCAGAAAATACTGAATGACTAACAAATGTTTCCCCGCTTTTTGGGGAAACAAAATTGTCAAAGCACCTAGGGAAGCATCCCACTTTCAACACTTGAATGAGGTGACTGGCCATTCTCGAGTTATCTAGAGATGCTTTAGCCTGAAAGAAACAAAATCAAATGCACTGTAAGCCATGTGAAGATTACTGAACACCAGGAAACTAACCAAAGCTGCTGGGTTTTCATTATAGCAAATATGTCGGCCACCTTAAATATGCAATAATTGTCATGGAAAATCTGTGTATGGGAAGAACAGGCCAAAGACTGTGGGGAGGAAAATCTATTGTGGAGAACAGGACTGGATGGGGACAATACCCAGCTTAGTATTGGTATGTTCTTCTATCTTCCCAAGAGTAAAAATACTTGGCACCTGGCAAATCTCTCAGGGATTTGTTACTGTGGAATACCACCTTTAAACCATTACTACAATTGATACATGATCAACAGAGCAGCAAGAACAGTGGAGATTTCTGAAACTACTCGATGGAGGTTAGTAGCAGTTAAATTTTCCCTTCAGTTGACAACACCAAGTTGCCAAGGTGACAAACGGCCCTAGAGCATCTGGGGCTTAGCCTGGCTCTCTACAGCTAACACATTCTCAAAGCTTTATGGGGCTTATTTGCTGTTACATTCAGCATTATATCCAGACTGTCTATAGGTCAAGGAGTGCAATGTTCTATCAGCCCAACCTCCCTCTAACTGGCGTCTACTTCCAAGTGTGTTACTATGCCATTGTAGGAATCATAGGGGTAAGCTGAGGATCAGCACATTTTGATTGCAAAATCATAGAGCTGGAAAGAAATTTGGAGGTCATTTAGTGCAACATCTTGCTTTGGTTTAGTTTTTGTTCTTACATTCTTTCCATTGTCCTTGGGTTTGGGTTTTTTTTTTTGTTTGTTTTTACATTTGGAGACCATACCCAGCAATTCTATTTTCCTGAAGAAGTAAGTTTGGTAAGTGCTGCATGGGAAAAATAGAACCAATACAAAATGTCCAGCCATTAATACCACTCTTCAATGCCTTGGTAAGGCCACACCTGGAATACTGCA